TATATGTATGTATACATATACACACATATATATACACGTATGTGTAAATACATTTGTTGCTGCTTTGTAGTCCATGTCCAGAAATACAGATTTGTTTGCTTTTTAAACAGCTTTCTATCGGCTTTTTAACAACAAGGTGTGTTTTAGGTCACTAAAAAAATGAACTTTCAAAAAACTTCTTGCAAGTTGTTCAGAACCTATTTTTGTGCTGTTAAGTGCACGCAAGAAAAACTAAGAACTTATCTTGCAACATCAAAGGTGTGTGCCTTTACCACCTTTTCTGATGTCAGTCTATGCACCATGTTAGTGTTTGTAGGCCTATGATTGGCCAGTATTTCTTTGGTAAGGGTTACAGTTGTCGTCAAACACACCTTTTTAATGGTTTCTTTGAGCTGGCAGGGTATTGGCTTGCTGCCAGTGTGTTTGGGTTCTCACTGGTGGCTGTTCAGAGTACCCAGTCTTCTTGGAGTCACTAAGTGGGGTGCTTTTTGAAGATGATGTGGTTTTGTTAGATTATTGATTTCGAGGCAGCAGAAATGAGAATCTGAGTCCATGGTCCTCAGGTGGCAAAGGGTCCAAGTGCTCACTCTGGGTCAGGGATGAGTTGCTGCCTTAAGTGGAAGAGAATGGAGTAAGAGATTGACAGATGGATTTGGGCTGGAGCTGCAGTGATGCAGACATCCTGTTATGGTAAAAGTGAATCTCCCAATTTACCGGTTGATCCTACATCCCTACCCTCACCTATAGTCAAGAGCTTTGGGTATTGACTGAGAGAACGGGATCGCAAAGTTGTTTCTATGTCCAACTCATGGGAAGAGTTCCTCCCAGTTTTTGTAAATCTTCAGTTCTCCTTCTTAGATCTTCACTGAGTTGCTTGGACTTTATCATTCTTCTGAGTATTGGTCTAGCCAGTCAGTGCGGTCAAACAAAGCCTTTTCTGCTGGGAAAGAGAAACTGCCAGTTCATCAGTCGCGGTCACTAACAAGAAGATTTATGTTAGCGTATGAATTCATTTGAGCTTGTATGTCTACTTTTGATGCTATGAGGATTACTTGCTTGTGGGAATGAAAGAGACATATGAGTCAACTCATTTTGAAGTTGATCAACTGGAATATTTGTGGTGACCTGAAGGTTGTGGCACTTCTGTTGGGTCTACAGTTGGGGTACACAAAACACATGTGCTTTCTGTGCCTATGGAACATTCGTGATGATAGCAATCATTACAAAGTGAAGCAGTAGCCATCCAGAGTTAGATGAGATAAACCTTTATTAGTTCCACATGTGGAACATCTGTTGTGTCACAGCAGAAAGTGGACAGTGCAAAGTTACAGTAGCAAAAATTAAGAATAACAATAGAATAGGATAAGATATTAAGAATAAGATGCTATATACAATAGAAAAAAATATTTTATGCAATACAAAAAAATACTACATTGTTGGAAAGAAAAAAAAAAAACTGTTGGCCGATACAATGTGCTACATGCATCACTAGTTGATCCACTAAAAGTGTACTTTCCGCCACTTCACATTAAACTAGGCCTAATGAAAAATGTTGTCTTGGCAATGGATCGTAATGGAAATGGCTTCCAGTATCTGAAGGATAGGTTTGGAAAAACCAAAACTGATGCCAAGCTAAAAGTAGCAATTTTTGTTGGTCCTGAAATCCGCTAAATGATGCGTGATGACACATTCAGATCCAAACTGAACATGCTTGAATTCACCGCTTGGGATGCATCTGTGCTAGTTGTGCAAAACTTTCTTGGCAACCATCGGGCTGAAAACTACGTTGAACTTGTAAGCAACATGTTAGCAGCATATCAGCAACTCTGCTGCTGAATGTGACTCAAAATGCATTTATAGCGGGGGGGTTTTTTCACTCCAAATTTGGGTGGTGTGAGTGATGAACATGGAGAACAATTCCACCAGGATATTGCCAGCATGGAGAAAAGATATCAAGGCCACTTCAACCCCATAATGATGGGCAATTACTGCTGGCTTCTGCAGCGAACAGCAGAGACTCACAAGCGCAAAAGCAAGCGCCTACAGCACTTTTTAACAGTGTATGTACATTCCATAAAGACTCAAGTGAACTATCTATTTACACGTTTGTTAAAGTGTACAAGTTTTTGTAATCTCTCACAGTTTTAAATCAAAATTTAGTTATGTACAGTGTCCATATTACGACTATAAAATCAGTTTCCTGATTTCCGTCTGTATGAATAGCCAATGATACTGTGTATAACTTGAGAACCTGACATCCTAGACAAAATCCGACTACAGATTTGGACTCAGCACACTCGATTTAGTATACGACACATGAAATACCACAACTAGCAAACAAAAGTGTTTGTTTTATGATCCTGTGTTTTAGAAAATTCTAACTAAATCAAACCCTGCACACATAATGTTTGTTTTATAAAGTTCTTAAAGCTGTGTTCTGTACAATCATATCACACTAGAAAGAACAGTTCAAAGGAAACATTAAAAGCCCCAAATTACCTTTACATTCATATCTATGATGAGTACACATAAACCACTTTGCATCATGGTTTGCATTTTCTTTTCAAAGCAAAAGCAAAGCAAATCCCTGTTTTTAAAAATTGTGTAGACCTGTGGACTTTACTGATTAAAATTAAGCCACTATACATTTACAGGCTAGTAAAAGCATCATGACTAGAATTATCATCAGTTTTCAAATTCCAAGGCTACTAAACATGCAGATTAAATATGGCAAGATAATCTGCATGCAGAGTTTCGACTGGTCCGTCCATCAGACTGTGAGCCCCCCCCTATTGCTCCTCGGTTACACTGTTTTCATGAAACAAAGCAGAAATGAACTTTGCGCACACACCAAGCAACTTTTCTCTGCTGAATGTGTAAGAAATGGGTGTTAGTGGGTGTTAGTGTGTTAGATTTGTTGCAATGTGCTATTAAAACTGCAATGCATGCATTCATGCACATGACACAGTAACACAAGATGACTCATAATCTGATGGTAAATAATGTTTTGTGTTCTCTGTACATCTTAGCTCAGGTAATAGAGCAGGTCATCTGCTAATCTGAAGGTTAGGGGTTCCATCCCTACAGTTTGCATGCCAAATATCCTTTCGCAAGATACTAACACCCCCGTTGCTCTCCGATGCATCAGTTGGAGTATGATTGCGTGTGAACGTTAGATAGAAAGCACTTGCATAGAAAGACTTATTTTCTTATATCAAAAGGATATTGATTCTCTTTCAGCTTCCTCACATTTATCCGAATTGCCACGCTGTTTTCAGAGAGAAACACTTGTGTGAAACCTGAGCTTAAACTGGAATTTTGAGCCACTACTTTGCGCTGCTCTTGGCACAAGGCTGGTTTTTACTGCAGTTAACTGCATCTTTTTTATAAAAATAAAGCACATTCTTAATAGATCCCCCAGCAATTGCAACATCGCAGTAATTTGTCTCACTTAGTAAATCTGTCCCATAGCATCTAAAATTAAATTCATCTTATTTGTTATATTTTACTGTTGTGATACTAGGTAACTAATTTTATCCTGCCTGTTAAAGATTTATATGAGTGCTATCTATCACTTATTCCAGCAGACTATTCTGGAGTGAAATTATACTAAAGACTGCAATATAACAAAGGACTTTACTAATTAGCACCAGTTGCACAGAACCTTAAGTACTATTATTAATTAATATAGATCTTGAGCTTATATAGCATTCTGTGTTCTTCGTGCAAGGCTACAGTTCAATCAGAAGTAGTTCTTATTTTAGCTGTGAATTTAATGAACTGTTGTTAAAAACTATATCAGGAGGATATCCAATGAAAATGGGGAAAGGCACTCACAGATAACATTTACCAGAGCTGAGCAACTTTTTTTAATGAATGGTCAGATGGGCCATCTCAGTGAATTATGGAGTGGTGTTTTCTCCTCCCTTTTCTTAAAGGATGGTCCAGTGTACACTATGCTAAAGGAACCAATAAAGGAAGAATTTACCCTCCTTCCCTTATTATTTGGAGAATTGGTACAGCTCTTATTATGGCCATCACACAGATACTTCAGGTCACGTCTGAGTTTGTTTTATGATGGTGGCACCTATACTTATACTACCACGCCAGAGAAGTAAAACTTGTAAAGACAACGATCAATGATTAGTCTTTCAAAGCTTTGTGGTTTTATGCAATTTAATTCATTAACTCAAAAAGTATTGGATAATTATCAAATGGATAATTGTTAAACATAAAATAGTTTTCTCTTAATA